GAAATAACCGAGTCCTAGTCGAAAAAGGCTACTTTCCCGTCTTGAGCGTCCAGGGCAGCGTGGGGCGCTGGCCCTGGCGCTCATAAATTTTAGCTACTGTAAATTCCCTCAAATTTCACTTTTTGCGTTTTTGTCCCGATTTCGCTCCAATTCGCGCCCTTTTGTCCCAAATTGCATCTGAATGATCCCTACACATAGAAATACCAAAATTTAGCACAAATAATCATATTAAACATCTCAAATCGTCGAGACATGAGCAAAATATGAGGCGGTATATATCAAAATATGCATACATTAAGCCGATTATCACCGGTCGAGCATAATATACGGGAGATTGGTGCACATGTGTATGAACTTCTAGCATATTATGCTGGAACTCCAACACGTAGAAAGTTCAAGCATAATATACTAGAGATTGGAGCACCTGTGTATGAACTTCCAGCATATTATGCTGGACCGGTATATTATACTGGAACTCCAGTATATTATGCTGGAATATTTTTCGGATTTTGAACAGTGTTTTCGTTCAGATTTATCTTTACATGAAAAGTGACTAAATTTCGATTACTTTTAAAATTGTGGCTATTTTTCAATTACCACTTGTAAATCTGGCTATTTTTGAATTTCTCCCGAAGGACCATAATCACTCTAATAAGATATCAAGTTCAAAGATTTTAATGAAAATATAAAATTGAAGCAATTTTGAGTAGCACATTCTATATTGTGACCTATTGATTACCTAATTTTCAGTCAGCAAATAAAAGATGACTCATTATGCGATTCAAATTATTTTTTCCTATGATGATATATATGCTCAAAGATTTTACTGAAAAATATAAAATTGAGTATTTTAAATAGTGCAGGGCATATGTGAATCTTTTTATTTAATTTGTCTTACATGGTTACCTATTTGTTTCCAGTCAATAGATAAAAAAGGACTCATTTGGCAATTCAATTCTTCATTTCAATGATGAAATTTGAACTCTAACACTTATTAGTGTATTAAATACATATTACTTGTAGATGTACACAAAGAAATTGAAGATTTTGTGCATGACATGTGTGTTGAAATATAACAAAGGAGGCTTCAATATTTCATAAACGACCAATCAACCTTGAGAAGATAGCTATGCCAATACACAATTGACACTGTTAAGGTCGAAGTATATAGAGAAGATAGCAATCAATTTTCATATGGGAGATGTAAACTTCTTGTATATCTAATTTTCTACTTTATAACACAATCAAATGTATTTCGGCTATGTATGCATATAAAAAATTTATAACTATTTTTTAGCATTTAGTAAGAAATTTATATGGAATACACGTAGAGAAACTAGCATATATATATATATATAAATATTTAGATGTTGTCTCTAAATTTGTACACTAGATAATTACGACTCTTTGTAACTCGAACACCGGATAATCAAGACAGTTTATTTTTTCAATATCTGATGTGTATAATTTATATCAGTTTATTAAAATTAATAAATACGGAATTCATGTTTTTTCAACAAACAAAACTTCTTGATACAATTTTATTTATCAATTTGATTCATTTGAGATCATATTTAGTATTCAGAATTTGACTTAGTTGCGACAGCTATCTTACTTAAATCACGTTGATTTCCTTTACGCAATCGAGAGGTTTAAATAACTAATCTTAACGCGGTTGAGCGCATCAAGTTGACTAATCCCAACCAATTATCAAGTAAGTACAAATAGTAGTTAAAACTTCCAACCTGCTATATTGTCTTTAGTCCAACGAGAAATACATAGAATATTTGTTGTAATCTACTTTTGACATTTTCCTATGTCAATTCTTCTCTGTCTTTTTATTCATCTCGTATTCTAAATTTACTGAAAAGTACATAAATAATCAGAGGCGGATCCAGGATTTAAATTCTATGGGTTCAATTTTAAGGTTTTTAACATTGAACCCATTATTTTTTTAAAGTTATGGGTTCATATCTACTATTTTTGTAATTTTAATGAATTTTTACATATAATTTCTTCTCTGTGTCAAAAGTTATGGGTTCAGTTGAACCCGTAGGTTGTACACTACATTCGCCTCTGCAAACAACCATTCTTAGGGCTGTTATTTAGGGATTAGTCAATACCTAATTTGTCACGAAATTTTGAACTAAAAATCTTAATTTTCAGGACAATTTAGGACATTTCTGTCCTAAAAAATTGAACTGGAAAAATGAATTTCATGACACATTGACTCATTCCTAAATAGCAGCCCTTTAAAATGGCTACCTAATGTCATTTCTACGAAATTTACTGATCTAACTAACTGAAGTTAGAATTTGATCTATAATTTGAAGTTTATGATTCTGACGACCTCTCGCTTGCCGTCAAAGCCACAACCCATTTATGCTATATGGTTCGTAATTTATTATATAGGGTCTGAAACAAAGCTATTAAATTATCATATATGGTACATACTCCTCTACATTAAAGGAAAAATAAATTTCTTTATTCTTAAATTTCTAACTCGAGAATTCTATATTTTTTTTGCCAGATTAAATTAATCAAAAGTGATTTTGGTTATTAAAGCTTTGGAGCTTTTCGTCCATTCAAATTATGCCTCGTATTCAACGGTATATGAATTAAAAAAATCATGGCAAAAAAGTCAGTGAATATCCCATGTGAATTTGTAATGAGAGTTTGCCAGCCAATCCCAATCGAGTATTCTAAATTAGACAAAAAAAAAAAAAAAAA